TTGTCTTTCTATTAACACCTTGGTTTAGTATACTATGTGCCCTTTCTGTATACTTAAGTTTTCCTTCATAAGTTATACAGGCTTTAATTCTTCTATTGAATTTTTATTTAATAAAGCTTTAGATATTTGATGTTAATTATAAAGATAAGATACTATTGTTGATAAGTATTACAATAACCAAGAATAGCTTTACAATTTACTATTTGATAGTAGACTTTTCCATTAATAGGTTAAAAAAAAAATTTCTAAATATATGATGATTTTGGTTTAATTGAAACCTTAGATATCTTCTTTATTTTTGCAGATATCAAATGCTCCAAAGATGTATTTAAAAGAACTTCCTGATTAGTTTCTATATCACTATTATAACTAGTATTTTGCAAATGATCTTTATTATTACTATCATTATCATAATCATCAACAAAAATATTATTATCATCAGAAATATAATCTAAAGACTAATCTTCACTAAATTTATCATTCTCAGATAATGTACTTTGTTGTTTACAATGTTTAGCTCGAGTTGTAGTAGCCATGCCAATAAAGTTTGAAACAAAAAAACTTATTTTATATAAATAAATTGGACAGTAATAAAAGGCTTAATTATTTGAGCAATATTATTTATTCATCCGTGTAAAAATTAAGAAACGGTCTTAAAAATTAAAAATAAACTTAGTCACTATAATATGGCTGGGTATAAATTATAGGCTTAAAATTTAATAAAATTATACGCCTTATATTTAACAAACATATAGCCGTCAATAATTGCTTACCAGAGAATAGTTAGAAATAATTAAGCATAACAATTACAATAACTTGCGAAATAAAGATGGCTGAGTACAAACTAAAGGCTAAGCTAAATAACTCAAAGTTTAAAAACAAAGTGCTATTTTTAAAATAAATAAATAACTTGAAAATTAGTAAAAGTTATTATAATTAAAACGATTATATGCCTAGAATCGATTCTAATTCAAGAATCGATTCAAAAATATGTAATTTTCTAGAAACGATTAAAACGATTACACAAAAATGAGAATCGATTCTAATTCGATTAACGATTAAATCGATTATCAGAGAATCGATTCTCGTCCCTACCACCAACTATAACGGTATTTCTGGCAACGGTGGTAGAGGAGCATTACCAGCATCTTCTTTTAATCTTTTTAGTATATCCTCAGCTCTAATTGCGATACTCATACTTCTAGAAACTCTTAGATCTCCCCCATCTTTACCACCTTTTCCACCTCTTCTCCTTGTTCGAGTTTCTAAATCCCTGCCGTCTCTTAATGTTTCCAATAAATTGTCCATTAAATGTTTCTCATCTGATGGATTTAATGAAGTTGCCATCTGCATTCCTTGGCTCTGTTTAGCCAATTTCTTTCGCTGTTCAACTTCCTATTATGTTTAAACATTCGTATCTTAAAATACGCCGTAATAAACGATTGAATTTGGAAATATAAATTACCTCTTGTCGCTTTTTGGCAGCTAATTCGCGTTCTCTTATTGATTTATTATCTGCTCTTGCACGCTAATAATGAAAAAATAATGATCAAATTTCAAGTTCTTAACTTTTATGAACAATAATAATAACTAGAGAATCAGCTCCGTTAATGTCTGAAGCATTATTTATTTCATAATAAATATTTTTATCTGACCAAAGAAGTATCGATAACACTGCTTGGTCTTTATTTCAGTAGAGATATTTCATTTTAAATGGCTGCCTGCTTGGTTTAGTGCATCGAAAAATGCGTCGAAGACAAACTGAGCTTGCATGGGGTGTGCAACCCCGATATTTAATACATTACGAATATAAAAGTAAATCCCCGAACATGCAATTCTAAACTCATCATAATCCGTTGCAATACAATTACAATTCAATTAGACTATGGTCTAGGTTGATTAGAATTAAATTTAATTTATGCTCGTAATATATAAATACTCAGGATTGTACAGGCCCAAGTTCGATGTACTTTTGATGCATAGCAGTTGTTAAAATCAAAAATATCTCTATTCTTTATCTCTACATTAAAACACCTGCTCTCCACTTTGTTTAGAATAATAATAAAAATATAACATACCTCAAAACTAGTTATAAAAGTTTTAAATATTCCAAAGAACTCATCAGGTTTAGTGTTTTTAGAATCTTCTCCAAAATATTCTACGACATCTTTATACGCAACTTCCATAGAAGTATATTCAATCTGTAAATCTTCAAACTTCTTTTGTGATTTTACAACAAATTCCTTCATTATTGCGGGAAATCGGTCATTTTCTTCTATTTCAACATCATCTCCAAAGTTTTTTTGTAATTCAATTGCCAAGTCATTTAACTTCGTACCCATTAACCGATATTCATTTGTCATTTCTTGTTGTGACACTAAAAAAAACAATTAATATAACAAAAATGATTAATAACCATATTAATGAATATTTTAATGTATGGTTAGAAAGAAGTTGTCATACCTCTACAAGCAGACCCGCATTCAACTAGATCATCAATAAAACCAAGTAAATTGGGTATTTTTGACTCAATGGTGTTTACCAAGAAATGTAATAACGTAATTGATGAACTTTTCGAAGCCTTAGTATCCACGAGCTTTATCATCATAAATATTTCAAATTCGGAATGTAAATATCTATCTTAATACTTAAACCAAGGTTGCCATTAGACAATGTCTAATGAAAAAAAGTCATTAGGCTTTGATATGTCTAATGACTTTTTTTTATATGTCTAATGGGTCTAATGAGCCACAATTTAACGACCTTGCTTAAACTTAATAAACAATAAAATAATTGACAAACCTTATTAATACTTTGAATCTTGAATCCAAAAGCACCTCCTCTATTACCAGAACCATTCATATAATTTCCAATTAACAAAATTAACTTTAAAAAAAAATTAACAAATATTATTAATAGGTTTAATAATCCGAAATGACTTCCTCTTTTCAGGTGTATATATATAATTCTTACGTTTAATAATTCTTTGAAATTGGATGATTCTTTAAGCGCAATAGATGCATTCAATACTGATACAATATCCTACAAAATATTAAACATTAATATAGATTTATTAAATGATAATAATAATAATAATAATAATAATAATAATAATAATAATAATAATAATAATAAATTACACACATGCTCCAGATCACTGAATTTCTCATTAAAAGTAACATGGAAATACATAAATTTAAGGCGTTGTTCATATCGATGAATCTTCATCACCTGTTAATGTAAAAGTATAATATATTCAATCGATGTTGGTATCATTGAAAGCAGAAAATTCGTATCAATTAAATACCAAACCTCAACAAAGAATCGATCTGCACGAGCCAAATTCTCTAGCATATCTTCGGGGCCATCTTTATATATTGACAATTTACCACGCTAAAAATATTGAAATAATTATTAAACATATTCTGCTAAATATTTAAATATTTTGAATAACTTACTTCTTCAGGTGTTGGAATAGATAACATTAACTGATTAAGTAAATTCTCACTACAAAAGTTCTCATCAAATTCGATGATTTTCCGATGTATTTCTTCAAATGTCAAATGTTTATGACGTCCAAGAGCCAAATCTTTAAAAAGAGATAATAATTAGTAGTGGATTTAAATATTATAGTAAATAGAGCATCTATATTCTTACTAATATGTTGAGCCCTCTTTGGATCCAAAACAGAGATTTCTTCTTTCTTTTCAACTTTCTTCTCTGAGAAAAATAAACATTAATATTGGAAAAATAAATAAATAAACAGGATTAAAATTATTACTAAAACTATAAAGTCAACATACTCTGTTTAGCTTCCAAAGCAGCAAATAATTCCTCAATGCTAGAAAAAACACCAGATTCTCCTCCAAGTAATTTAATTAGGTCTTCATCATTCAAATTTCCTTGTCCCCATAATGTTTTATTAATAGACAAATAATTAATCTTGTCCCATTGAACTTGTTTAAGTTTCTTCATAGTCATGAATGGGACTTCTTTACGATTATCTACACAAGAAATAAAATAAAATAATAATAGAAGTTGAATGGAATTCCACACACGTTAAATCAGCAAACTTATCAAGTAAACTGGTTTTGCCGCACCCTTGCAAATTATATCATTACGTGTTCATAATTTCAACCAAACTTGAAACTCCACACATGATGAACACATAGCGTATGATTAGCAAAGATGTGGAAATACTAAAAAAATATGTGTAACACCGATTCCCCTTTATCAATACTAAACTTGAAGTTGCCTGCGCTCGAAAACCTCCTCCCGGTGGCGGTGGTGGACCTCCAGCTTTTCCTGGTGGAGGTGGTGGCGGGGGACCACCAGCTTTTCCTGGAGGAGGAGGTGGTGGTGGTGGACCTCCAGCTTTTCCTGGAGGAGGAGGTGGTGGTGGTGGACCACCAGCTTTTCCTGGAGGCGGTGGTGGTGGCGGCGGTGGGCCTCCAACCTTTCCTGGTGGTGGCGGTGGCGGTGGGACTCCAGTTTTTCCTGGTAGAGGAGGAGGAGATGGTGGTGCTGGTATGTTTGAAGACTGCGCAACTGGTGGGGGTGGTGGTGGGGATGGTATATTTGAAGATTGTGTAACTGGTGGGGGCGGTGGTGGGGATGGTATGTTTGAAGACTGCGAAACTGGTGGTGGTGGTGGTGGGGATGGTATATTTGAAGACTGTGTGACTGATTGAGGTTGTGATGATGGTATGTTTGAAGAAGTAGGAGAAGATGATGATTGTTCAATTGAAGAAGGTTGAGATGATAAACTATCCACTTGCGTGGTTTGCAAATCAGTTTTTGTTTGTGAAATTGTCGAGCTAGGTTCTATAGGTAAACTGGATTGAGGTTGCATCTTAGACGTCATGTCAGAAGTAGGAGGAGTTTGAGGTTGTTCATTTGAATGTTCACCAGCTGATGTGTGACCATATATACCATCATAACGTTGTTTAATTTCGTTTAAAACATCTGTATTCATACGCGGAGGTTGTTCAGGAATTCGGAATCCACCAGGAAAGTTTGCTTTATCATAATCAGGTTTGTATGGACCCTGCTCATGTCCGGAATAACTTGAAGGCGCATCTTGACTATATTGAGATGATGCGTTCTGATGATTTTGATTATCAATATATTCGTTTGCATCTGGCATCTACATTAAAAAATTTAAATGTTAATAACAAATTGATATAAAATATTTTCATTATAATTATAAATCTAAAATCAGGTAATTAGACCATCAACAAACCTTGAAATCTCCAAATGTAGGTGGTGTCCAAACTTTTCGATCCCCTTCCAAAATTCTTTCTGTCTCTCGTATTTTCTGCATTCTTTCTAATTTTTTCATAACCTCTGTTTTATCGACAGGTGCGGAGTCAGTTCCAGAACCTTGTTGTTCTTTTATTATTGTTTCAAGTTCTCGAAGTTGAACATCCTTCTCAGCAAGTTTTTCACGATAACTTGCTTCTAAATCGGCAATCCGTTGTTGGAGCGTTTTAATGGTGTGCCGAGAAATGCGTAAAAGCTCTTCTAATGAGTCGATCTTATTTTTTAATTCACCATCTAAATGTGTACACGATGATGATTAGGTACATAGCAAAAATCAAATAACATCTATAATGTAAGTCACCTGTCCCATATGACATCTCATGTTTTAACAGTAACTCTTGTTTCTCGCGCAAGGCTTTTGCAGCCGTAGCTTTAGCTTCCTCTGCTTCTTCAAGGGCAGCATTAAGTTTATCTTGGTCAGCCATCTTAGCAAGGACCTGTGAAACGGTGAGACCAACAGACTGACTCCAATCTTGATCAAGCCCATGCCGATCAAGAACAACCTGCGTAACCAGGGAATCGATAAGCTGGAAATATTTCGTCCTAAAATATAGCATATTTCTCAAAATCAGTATCCTCAATTTATATTTTATTAACCTTTTTCTTTTTATTTATTTGAAATTGAGAATAAACCTAGCTTCTCCGACGTCACGAATAAGCAACATATGTTGCATAGCCGACAAGAAAAAATCGTATGCTCGTGACCCTTGTACCGAAGCAAGCACACACTCAAATACATCACGCGGATCAGTATGAACAAAAAAATTAAGGATAAATGAATTACGAATAAGATGAAAATAAAAATAAAAAGAATCATATATAGTAAAGGATATGTCATGTCCTGCAATATTCGATGATTATAATAATCCAAGACTTCTTCGTAATCCAATTCGCTTTCACGTTCAAATTTACTTATTTGACGATTAATAAGTTCATAGTTAAATGTTTTCATTTTCTAAATATCAAAGCATTTTGAGCCGACTGAGATTTGAAATAAGATAACTTATCGCAATTAAAGGAATTAAAGATATGCTTACATCAATTATACGAGTTAAACCACATGCGTGTAGCTGGTTTCTTAAATGTACTCGAATTTCAACGTCATCACATACACCAATGATTGAATTCACAAGAATCATATTCGCTAACTATTGAAAGAACGAAACATAGGATTATATCTCAAATAAAAAAACTAATTATAAAAGTATTTATAAGGAAGTATTAAAAAAAGCCTTACCACATATTCCATCAGTGAATTATCTATTCCCGTACCCCCTTTCTTAAATTCTTCGCTTGCATCTACCAAACTTCCATATCGCCCACGCCCATCAATTGCGTTCTCTAGTACTCTCATCCACGCATCAAATCTTCCATGTTCATTAAGAAACTTCTGATGATGATCAAAACCTTCTAGTACAAGTGTATGACCGGTAGGAATTTCACAATAACAAAAGAAAGAAAGAACTTCGGCCACCAGTTTGCGAGTATTTAGTTGAGGGGAAACAAGTGAATAAGTGATGCTATGAATGCATGATGAATGCGTCAGAGCTTCTTGAGCACCCCACTAATATATTTAATAAAGATTAAATTATGCATTCCTATAATAAAATCATCAGCCATGTTTATTTAGACCTACTCTGTTGTTTAACAATGATTTTAAACATTTGATAATTTCGTATTCCATTTGTAGATCAACTTCTAACCTAATTAAAACAAGTAATACATATTCACAATAAGCGTGTAAAAAATGAATATGCGAAAATAATCTAACTATATGGATAAAAATATTACGCATACTTTGCATGTTTTTTAGTAATGCTACTGAGATAATTAGCAAGAACCTCTAAACCTTTAGCGTCAATGAAAGACCGAACCCATCTGAATTCATAAAAAATTAATACAAGTTTAATGTCTTAAATGTATAAATATCATTGATCACAAAGGAAAAAAAATCATAGAGTGAGTTTCTCACGTTATGGGCAATGTTCTTAGAGAAACACTCAGAGAGTTCATGTGTTTATAAGTTATAGTGCCGTCCAAAATTTTTTTAAGATAATATTCTGGAGTATTCGGATCAACTGCATTTTTAACAGGATTGTCTTTTTTCGTATTAGCGGGATTTGTTTTCTATAATAAAAAAATCGCGATTATTACAAATATGTGATAATTCAAAATGAAAAAGAAAAAATTTTAACTTTTAACCTCTTCCTCTAGCAAATCATTCTTTATTAACGTCCATTTATTTTCAGTTGGTATGGCTAGCATTTTATTTCTTTGTGCCTCAGAAAGGTTTCTCAGTCCTCTTTTTTTCTAACATGTAAAATGGATGTTAACAACACATTGATCAAGAAAGTGACATATGAGGGAAGATTTGTTTATACCATCATTTCCAAAAACAACCGTTCAATCTCTTCGTCAGAAGGCATATTAGGTTCGCTTTTAGGACCTCTGTGATATGAGCTCATCCAAGCTGGTAAATCAGCAGACGAAAAGGCAGCTGACGTTCTAACAGAATCAATACTCCGCGTTGATGCTGAGGTTTCACTGAATGTGGAATAACCAAGTGAAGGCGTATAATCTACCGAAGAAGTTCTCGAATGGTGATCACCGCTGTAATTCTCATAATGAGTCGTTATCGGGGGCGATTGGGTACGTTGTTGAAAGTGTAACTCAGGAAGTTGATGCGGATAGGTTTGCTGAACAGGATAAGAAACGTTATTATTGGAATGATTAGGAGACGGTAAGGGAGGTCTTGTATTATCATATCGTGGAGTAGTTCTTAATTCATTCGGCTGTTTTTTGCTTTTTGTTTTCTCAGTTTTAAATAAATTTTTCATTGTGAATAAATGCTTCCTAAAACGATAGTAATACTATACTATTATACAGATCTTTTATTCTTTAACATAGATCTTGTTCTTTCAAGTAGATCGTCAAAGCAAAACCAAGATCTATGTTAATAATATTAATAACAGGTATGAAATAATTTAATAATGAAAACGATACGTAACGTTTCCCGAAGGAATAATAAAGGGTGTGGCTAAACTTGTCAATAACGATAAATTTGTACGTATCAGGTATGATATAAATTAGCCACACTTCTACTGTACTCTTATAGGTAAGTTACACAATGCGCATGAACCATACGTAATATAAAAATACGATATAGTAGATAGTGATTTTAATCAAAATTTTGAGATTTGACATTTACTCGAAATTTTATTAAGCTAACAAGGTTTGTGTATTAAGAGAATATTATTTAGAAGGTTTGTAGAATTCTAAAAACATTGATATCTTGAAACTTGGATATCTGGGTGTTGAGTTATTGTTATTATAGCCTTGTATCATATGGGATCTTTGCTAGAAAAATTACCTTTCAGGATTTTCCGAACAGGCCAATTCGGAAAGACTTAGACCAGAACACCAGTTCTTATTTATATGCAAATCATCTTTTACCTTGCCGATATAAT